AACCTCCCATAGTTTTAGGAGACGTTTTAATTCTTCTTCGCAATGTGACATATACTAGAACAAAAAATACTGTTACTGTAAAAAACTACCTACTATTTTACTAACAATAATATTCTCAAGATTTTTCGTATTAAAAAAATTACCACAATAAATATTTTATCCCTATTTACCGAAATTTTTAAAGAAGAAAATAAAATAACTATTTATACCTTTATCAGTTTATACACATAATTTATTCTGAGAACAACTGAAGATTTAATTGCTTACCCTCTTTGACTTAAATATCAAAATTATCTGAAAAATCTGTTATTTATTAAGGATAACCCTAAATATGTGGTATCGCAAATAAACATTTCGTCTAAAAGTTCTGTTAGATGATATTTTGGAAAACCCTGATCGAAATGACTGTCGTGCGTGTCCTCTTTTTTGAGGCAAGATTTGAATAGAAAACATTTATTAACATAAATTACACTTGTATAAAAACAAACAATTTTTGTTATATCCGAGGTGGTAACTTAATAAAAAACATGTATAAAAGTTCATCATCAGTAAAGATTTTAAAACTATCAAATATTCAGTGGTTGTACTCAATCTCAAATCTGAAACTAACCCCCTATGTGGCTCAGTGGTAAGAGCGCCTACCTTTAAACCTAAAAGTCGTGAGTTCGAATCTCACCTGGGTGGAAATAATACTGTTTTTAGCAGCACTGTGAAGCATTTCATAGCTGTCATTTCTGTCCATTGTCGAAATATTGCGCAGCCATGACATTTTTTTACGTCCCAGACCTCTCTACCTTCTATCTTCCCTTCGAGTATCAGTTGCTGAAAAGTGTATCTTTCTCCTCGTAATATTTGTCCAAAGTATGCAGTCTTCTTACTTTTTACATAATTAAAAAGTTCCTTATCATGTAAACCTGCTCTTCTGAGTACTTCCTCATTTCTGACCCTGTCCGTCCATGATATTCTAAGCATTCGACGCAGCATCATATTTCAAACAGTTCAAGTTTGTTAATTGAACAGACCTTTAACGTCCATGCTTCCATTCCGTATAAGAGAACAGGCCACACGTAACACTTAAGCATCTTGTATCGGAAGTTGAAGTCCAATTTGCGATCAGTCAGAAACTTACGAAGGCTCAAAAAAAAGCGTTTCTGGCTTGTTCAACTTTGCTCTTTATTTCATTTTTGGGTCTCAACCCTCGTTCAGCAAACAACCCAAGTATTTAAATTGCCTAACCTGTTCGATTTTTCCTCCAACGCAAGATATATCTTTGCGTTGGGGTAATCATTTCTACTTATAATTATTGTTTTTGTATTCTTGATATTTATCTTCAAACCCCGAGCTTCACTTGCAAGAGTTAACCCATTTAAAAGGCATTGAAGATCTTCGATGTTATCTGCCACTATGGCTGTATCATCGGCATACCTGATGTTATTAATAAATATGCCGTTAACTTTAATACCCTTAGTCTGCCACTGCCTCTGCAAAGGTTTTTTCTACGTATAAATTAAACAGCATTGGAGACAGTATACAACCTTGCCTTACTTCTTTTTAATAGAGAAATCCTCTGTTTCCTTGACATTTTGAAGACGTGCTATTGCTGTCTGTTCTCAATACAGATTGCCGATAATTCTTATATCCTTGGCGTTTAATCCCAGCTCTTGTAGGTATTTTATCATCAATTCGTGTATTACAGTATCGAATGCTTTTTCATAATCGATGAAACAGACAAAATCATCCTCTCTTTGATCTAAAAATTTCTGTCTTAATGTTTGCATACTAAAGATCGCTTCTCTGGTGCCAAGTCCATTTTTGAAGCCAAACTGACTCCATCCACTGACCTCTTCAGATTTCTTAAACAATCTAGTGTGTAGTATTCTCAGGAAAAGTTCTAAAAAGGGACTCATTAGGCTTATTATTCGGTGGTCCTTACAGAAGTTCGCTCGTGGTGTTTTTGGTAGGGCGATAAATGTAGAGCAAAGCCAATCTTTTGGACTCTGGCCCGTATTGTAGATGTCGTTAAAGAGCTTGACAATAATGTTTAGGTTTTCTTCATTAAGTAACTTGACTGTTTCTGCGTACATATCATTTGGTCCTGGGGTTCTGTTACTTTTTAATAGTTTGATAGCATGTACAGTTTCAGCTTTCAAAATACTTAATACAAATGGTCTCCCAGTTGTGGTGGTTTTTTTGTTCTGTCATCATTGAACAAATTGGCTGTGTACAATTTCTAAGTATTAAGTATATCGCTAGGGTTCGTTATTCGTTAATTTTGGTCATTATGTATACCAGTGACTTGTTTTTTCTTAAAGACACCAGCAATTTCCATCATTTTCTTGTAAAAATTGAAGCTGTCGCCGAGTTTATATAGGTTTTCAGCCTCGGTGCAAAGTGTAGTCATCCAGATCTACTTCGCCGCTTTAATTCCTTATACGAATTTGACTGTGTATATTTCGATACCCTACTTGGTTCTGCCTATCCTTATACTGTCTGCGTTGTTCCATTATCTCTAATATTTCTTCTGTCATCCACTAGACAACACATAACACCTCACTAATCTAATTTTCAGACTTAAAGTAATATTGTTTCCACATAACAGTTTCTTTATCTTAAAGAATGCAGCTCTGGCCTTCTCTATCCGTATTCTAATTTCTTTGCTCATGTCCCAGTTCTCATTTAGATTAAAACCAAGGTAAGTGATACTGTTAGTTCTCTCCATTTGTTCTTCATAAGCTGTTACCACTTCCAGTTATATAGGCGTTTTACTGACGACCATCACCTTTGTCTTTGCGGTGTTTAGCTTAAGGTCATATTTATCACACGTTGTGGTAATCCTATTAATTAGATGTTGAAGTTCTTCATCTCAAATTATTAATATTGACGCCATTCATTTTTATACCACATTGAACATTATCCACTGCTTTATTGAAAACAAACTCAGAATAGATGGTAAATAGTAGCGGGGACAAAATGCAGCATTGCCTTACTCATCTTCGTATTTGAAGCTCTTTAGAAGTGTCCCGGCCAATCCTGATGTTTGCACGTTAATGCCAGTAAATATTTTTAATAACGCGTAGGTCTTTATCGTCAATACCTACCTGCTGAAGAATGGCTATCATTTCAGTATGTTTTACTTGATCAAAGGCCTTCTTAAAGTCAATAAAACACATATAAATTAGATATCCGACATCTCTACATCTCTGTATCATAACCTGAATACTAAATAGTGCTTCTCTTGTTCCAAGGTAATTTCGGAAGCCAAACTGTGCGTGACTAAGTTGTAGTTCTATTTTTTGGTACATCCTAGAGTGCAAATTCGTAGAAATATCTTTAAAACATGACTCATCAAGCTGATGGTTCGGTAGTCACTACATTTTTTTGCATTTGCTATTTTAGGTATCGTCACAAAAGTCGACAGCTGCCAATCCGTTGGTATATAGCCAGTTTCATAAATTTTATTAAACAGATAAAGGAGAGATATTTACCCTGAACTTTTAAAGAGTTTTATTATTTCACTTGGTATTTCATCTGGTCCCGTCGCTTTTCGGGTCTTTGCTAATCGTATTGCTTGTTTAATTTCGTCCATAGTTATGTCAGGTCCTGTAACTACTTCGCTAATTTTAAGCTCGGGCCTTTCATCACTAAAGAGTTCCTCAATATACTCATTCCATCTGTCTATTTTATGCAAACTAGTTATAATCAGTTTTCCGTCTCTATCAACGATGTTATTTGCCTGTGTTTTGTTCTGGCCTGTCAGTTCTTTTATTTTTTTATACATATTAAAATAATCATGTTTTCCATGTAACTCTTTGATTTGGTTACAATGACCTTCGATAAATTCTTGTTGTTCATAATTCTCAAAATTGCTCTCTAAATTGTTTGCAATCATCTGACTATTGTTTCTAATAAAATCCATATCCAGTTTGTTATAGGATGGTTGTTGTTATATCCGTTTAAGTTTTAATTTTATTTCGGCTAACAATAAATTGTGATCAGTTGTAACATCGGCATCAGGAAAAGTTTTTACAGACTTTACTGCATTTCTTTTGGAATTTATTACCGATATGTATCCTGAAGCTATAGTGTTACATACAATTATAAAAATCTACGAGATATAGGAATGAGTATATTTTTAATATGGTGTGTGTCACACCACACGTGTCGAACAGTGTTACAAAATTTCACCTGTCGGATACCGGGTTAAGATGACAGGATTAAATAGGATATAAAGAACACCTTGCAAACGGCACTTGGAAATAATTTGGACCACAGAAAACTAAAAGAGTATCTTGTATAAATATGTTATATAAAATTTGATCATGTTTTTAATAAAAAAAAAAAAATCAAAACACCTTGATACTCATTTTTAAAAGGTAGTCCAAGGAAAAAGCATGTAAGTAGTACGTTTTTAAAACATCTATAAAAAGATATTATTTAGTCGATCACAATAGTTTTCGATTTATTATTTTACCATATCAAATTCGTTATAGAAATATTTTATATAAACAATATAAATATTTAAATGAAATTTAAAACAATAGAAGAATTTCATATATTCGCATTGCTAGGTTAATATTTTTTTATATTTAATATTTTTATATAAAATTAACTTAACATTTTTACGTAAGTATTTTTATTTTCTTTTATCTAGATAAAACGAGTTTGTTATACAGTTTTAATATTTTTTTTGTATCACAAACACATAACAATATAAAATAAAAATATAATTTAGTAATGGAATATTCTAGTATGGAAATAATGGCCAATTTTTTTAAAAACTTTTTAATAGATAATATTCGTCTAAAATAGCTGACATAAAAAGTAATTCGAAGGAATTCAACTGTGAGATTAAAATACTAAGATGTACTTAAAAAACAAATACTGCGATAAAATTGCATACAAACATGTTTATGTCCATAACCACCATTTGCATCTAGCCACAAAGGCGACCTTGGCGGATAATCATAGCCGGTATCATTTTTACCATAGTGCGAATTGTGACCGTTCAGTTGCAGTTATTGCAAGTCTGTTAATACATTTTTAGTTTCTTGTACGGCAACTAATACATTTATGTAGACTACTTTTTAACACTTAATAGTTTGTGTTTGTGATTTTCATTTAGGAATTACTGTGCTTTTACAAGTGTCAGTTGTAAGTGAAATTGTGTTTGTGTTCCATCTTAAAACTCAAAAACCTTAAAATCAGCGGTGGTTTGTTGAAGGTAATGTTGCCCATATTATAACATAACACAAAATAATATCAAATTTTAATTAATTAGGGAAAACAACAAAAATTAAGTTTTAATAAATACTTAATTATCATTTATAAACCAAATAGTTGTTTAGAACAAAACATTTTGTTTTGTTATTAAAATCAGAATGTATCCTTTCAGTGTATTATTTGAATCAAGTTATATAAATAGGCTGAAAAATTTCAGACAGAATCTGTTATCAAATTAGATTAATAAATTAAAAATAGGTTGAATCGATTTATCGTGTTTTGATATAATGTGTATTAAATGACTAATTTAGTTGACTTTCTCGTATCGCAATTTCACTTGACCTACCGTATACATTGTATTTATACAGGGTGTCCAGAAAGTCTCCTGGTAAACAAAGACCGTAGATTCCTCAGATAATTTTAAATAAATTTAACACAATTCACCTTGTCCGAAAATGCTTCCTAAGGGAGCTAGAGTTCTTTGAAGATGGCGCTTTGTAATTAGGTTTTTTTAATACCTCCAGAACGCTTATATTTAGAAAAACAAAAACTAGTACGTTCATTTATCTTCCAGAGCTGAATCGATTTCATAAAGTGCTAATTTCTAGTAATGATCATAGGCGTCCGTTTTGGGTAGGTCAACGGTTTTTTTTTAACGCATAATTTTTATGTCTTTACCTAATATTCGTAATACTAGATTATTAAATCTTCGGATATTCTAGTACTAAAAGGTACTCTTACTCCAAGTCGATAGGATTCACCGTTGTCCAGAAAAATTGATTTAAAAATGTTTCGTTTTTTAGTCATAAAAGTTAAACTAATATTTTTTGTAGTAGTTGACTTTGACCTGTCAACAGAAGTATATCCTAGGTTTTCCATTGTCAAAATGTGATCGGTTGCAAAGTTTTTCTTTTAGTTTTTTACTTTGTGGCATTTATATATAACAATTTTAATTCAACAAAAATGGATTTTACTAATAAGGAATGCGCTAATATGCTTTAGTTTATGGCGAAATGAGGTGTAACGCTCTGGCAGCACAACGTAGATACCCTAAAAAATTTTACAATCGTGATCCCACTCACTTAATATTTACAGCTCTTTTTCAATGAATAAGAGAAACAGTTTCAGTGGTTCCAAAAAATTATAAAAGAGGACGACATGATAATTAGCATTAATAATGATGATAATCACATTAGCACATGATGTGATTTACATGGAAGTTAAGAAAAATCCAGAAATTAGCGTTCGAAAAATATCTGTCATGTATCCCACATTTTTAAAATCTTTCGTAGTAAATATCTTCATCAATCAGTCAATCGCGTCCACTGCTGGACATAGGCCTTCGTCAATTCTTTCCAGTATTCTCTACACTGGGCCGCTTGTAGTCAGTTTCCCGCTACACGTTTTATATCATCTAATATCATTGGTCCATCTAGTCAGTTGTCGTCCTCGGCTTCGTTTATAGTTTTTGGGCCACTATTCCATAATACATCTTGTCCACCGTCCATCTTGTGTTCTGGCTAAATGCCCTGCCTAGTTCCACTTAAGCGTCGTGGTTCTTTCGATGACGTCTTGAACTCCTGATTTTTGCCTAATTTGTTGGTTTTTTATGTGGTCTCGAAGTCTCACGTTCAGTATTGCACGTTCCATGGCTCGCTGTGTAACTCTGAGTTTATTCGCAGATTTTAGCGTGAATGTTAAAGTCTCTGCTCCATAAGTTTGTATAGGCAAAACACATGGGTTATAAAGATTTCACTTGAGTCACACGGGAATTAAACTTTTTAGAATATGGCTTAATTTCCCAAATGCTGCTTATGTCCAGAGGCCTATTCGGCTCTGTATTTCATGTATTTGATTGTCTCTGTTTATTTTGATCTCGTATTTCAGATATTTGTAAGTGTCTGTGTATTGTACGGTATTTTTGTGAATATTTATATTTCCACTTATTATGAGATTTGTTTTAAGTTTAGTTTTCTCAAAGTTTATTTTTAATACTGCTCTTTCAGACAGACTTTTAAGCGAATGTATCATACTGAATGTATCATGCTGCCGAAACCCTTAGCATGACAAAAAAACAAGAGGAATACCTTAGAATACTAGAAAGGAAATTACTAAGAGCAATATTAGGACCAATAAAAATTAATGAAAACCAATATAGACAAAGAACGAATCATGAACTACTAAACGAAATTAAAGAGGATATAGTTTGTAAAATAAAACAGCAAAGGGCAAAATAAATAGGACATATATGGAGATCAAGACCATCTACGACAATATTCTCAATATTGGAATGGACACCAGCTGGTAAACGAAGACGTGGAAGACCAAGATCTACATGGCTACAAGAAGTAACAAACGATCTCAACAGGGCGGGCGTACGACAATGGAGAGAAAAAACCAGAGATAGGAAACAGTGGAGAAAAATAACAAGAAAAATTAAATAAAGAAAATAAGGACTGATCTACCTCGTAAAATAGATCTAGAGAGCTTAAGCGGCGTAACCCCGTACGGGGTGTTTAGCCACAATATATATCATACTCTATTCTGTAAGTTATCTGCGATTAAAACAACATCATTTGCAAACCTTAGATGATTTAATCTTTCTGCATCTATATTGACGCCCATATATTGCCATTGAGTGTTCTTTAATATTGACTCTAGAGCTGAAGTGAACAATTTTGGATATTGGAGTCTAAAAAAAGTTTCCATAATATAGGAAATTACTAATAAATTTTATATTTTCGTGAATGGACCAACTTGATAGAATTCTTATGATAATATCTTATCTCCAAGTTGTATTATATGCACGAGTTATATAAAAAAAGTTAATAATTCTTGACAACATTAAAATGATTAATAAATTACCGATTTAATGTCCACTAGGATATCTAATACATAATGTAGGTTACCTAAAATTTCTAAATACACTTTGTATAGGGCTAAGTAGCTGTCGATCTTTTAGATACCATATTATTCTAGATACCATATTATTTTAGATACCATATTCTATCCTGTTGTTTAGCATCTTTTTAAGTACTTTTATACATAGTAGCATTTAAGTACTTTATACAAGTCGCATATACAAGATATGCGAAGAGAGAATACAAGACACACAGTTTGGATTCATGAAAGGCGTAGGTACAAGAGATGCACTGTTTAGTCTACAAGTATTATTTCAAAGATGCAGAGATATGACTTGCGATATTTACACCTGCTTTGTGGACTACCAAAAAGCATTTGATACAGTTCAATACCAAAAAATGATGGATATTCTAACAAAAGCCCAAATGGATGATAAAGATCGGCGTATAATACAAAATTTATACTGGAACCAATCAGCCACAATCAGAACGAATTTTGGAGGTGAACCAACGGAAATGATCCAGATTCTACGAGGCGTTAGACAAGGTTGTATACTTTCACCTATATTATTTAATCTATATTCAGAGGAAATATTTAGTGAAGCCTTGGAAAAATGCGAACATGGAATACTTCTAAATGGAGAACGCCTAAACAACATCCGTTATGCAGACGACACCGTTATTTTTGCAGACAGTTTGAACAGTTTACAGCAACTAATAAACAAAGTAAATGAAGTAAGTGAAAGATTTGGACTTCAAGTAAATATAACAAAAACTAAATTTATGATCATCAGCAGAAATAAAGTTAGAGACGCTCAACTACTTATCAATAATACACCAGTGGACCGAGTAAAACAGTATAACTATCTTGGAACAACAGTAAATTAACAATGGGATCACTCACAGGAAATAAAATGTAGAATAGAGAAGGCTAGGAGTGCATTCAATAACATGGCCAAACTTTTTAAAAGCCACAATCTTAATCTGGAGATAAAAGTAAGGCTCCTACGATGTTATATCTTCTCAATATTGTATTACGGAGTTGAATCCTGGACACTAACTGAAGCAATGGAGAAAAAACTTGAAGCCTTCGAGATGTGGCTATACAGGCGAATTCTAAGGATATCATGGACAGACAAGATAACCAAAGAGACCGTATTACGAAGAGTGGGCAAAGAAAGAGAGGTGATGTATAACATAAAAAGGAGAAAGTTGGAATATCTCGGACATATAATGAGAAACAGCACTAAATACAGATTACTGAAGGTAATCCTACAGGGTAAAGTATTCGGAAAGCGAGGAATTGGGAGAAGGAGAATATCATGGTTGAAGAACCTGAGGGAATGGTTCTCCACAACAACAACGAATCTATTTAAAGCATCAGTTAATAAAATAATTATAGCCAGAATGATTGCCAATATTCGGAACGAATAGGCACTGAAAGAAGAAGAAGAATACATAATAGAAGCTAAAGACTGGTCAGACTCTGGGTCCGATTTATTCTTACCCTGTGAAATGATACGATAATTAGTAATTAAGTGGAAAATAATTCTTGATTCAATAATTATAGATATCCTAAAGATATCTTTTGCCTTCCGTTGGCATAGCTTTTAAAAATGTAGTAGGTATATTGTTAGGTACTGGGCTAGTATCTTTAACTTTGTTTAATGTTTCAAACAGTTTATTTATTGTAAATATAACATTTATAGGATATAAGATTTAAACAGTCATTATTAAATTTATTTTTAAGGGCTAGGAAAATTGTAGATATATTTTCCTCACTGCTATTTTGTTGATATACGCTTGCTAGTACGGAGGCTAATCTCTTCTTCTTTCAATACCTTGTCCGATTATCGAACTTTGACGATCATATTGGCATTAATAACTTTTTTTACGGCGGCTTTAAATAAATTAGCGGTGGTCTCTTGATACCATTCTCGGAGATTTAGGAGCCGGCATGTTCTTCGTCGGTCTGGGCCTCTCCTTCCGGCGATCTTGACCTGTATTATGAGGTGTAGAAGCTTATACCTCTCTGGATGTCTCATTATATGACAAAAATATTGTAACTCTCGAATTTTTATCGTTTTTCTTATTTCTGTGCTCTTTATATATTATGTGATAAATCCACATCTCAAAGGCC